GTAAGTAAGTAATATAATTTCTCATGCGAATAACCCTATTTGTACTAATTGAAAATGAATATGGACTTCTAATTTTAGGCGATAATATAAAAATGTCTGCTGGTTTGGGACTGATTACATTAGATATTTTGGGCATTTCACCAGCAGAAGCTGGCAATTACACATGTCAGCTAATAAATGAAGTCGGTGTTATGGAATCAACAGCTGTTGTACTTGTTCAACGTGAGATTTTCCGACTAAATTTTTTAAATAAAATGAAACTAAATTTAATGAACATTAAGCATATAAGAATTGTTGAAAACTGATAATAAAGTGCATGTGTTTTGTATTTTTTTTTTGTGAAATTAAACCACTTAATGAAATTGAAAGTTTGATGAGAGATAGATAAGGATCGTTACCAGTTTGCTAATTATATTAACTTAAGATAACTTTTATTCACGAAATTTTTCTTACATCATTTTTTTAGCTCGTGTAAAAGATTTCGAACAAAGGAATATAATGGATGTGGAAGATGCACGTGAACTTCGATACGAAGTTGATTCTTCAGCTCATGCACCTGTCTTCCTTACAAATGTTTGATTTCATTTACCACTTCGATAATTTTCCAACACTGAAATAGTTCAAGAATGCATATTAATTGTAATTCTAATTCAGATCTGTTTTTTTCGATACCAATTGCAAATTCTATACAAATTCCTTTCTTCCTTCATTACTAATTATAATTCTCTGCAGATCTAATCATAAATTTACGCTCAGTAGCACTTCATTTTATGACATCATTTTAGCTATCAAATTGTCACTGCAATCAAGAGCTTGGAAGTTCATATTTTGAAGCACGCATTGCACCCGTAAATGATCCTACACTGAAAGTAATTTGGCTAAAAGATGGACAACCACTGCCGAATGCTAATAGAATACAAGTATGTTGCTAAGCTTCAACTAGCGTAAAAATTTTTGTAATATTATATGATATGAAATAACTTTATGCATAAAATATATATTTAACACACATTTAGGAATTGCACATAAAATTTTCAATAATTTTTAGACGTTCAACAATTTTGGGTGCGTATCCCTAACACTGAATCCAACATATCCGGAAGATGAAGGTACCTATATTTGCGTCCTAAAAAATTTGCATGGTCAAGCACAAAGTGCAGCACAACTCACTACAGTGCACACCACCAGTTTACAGCTTGAATCTAAACATCAGCAATCATTAGCACAAATTGGATATCTTGAGGGATATCAGGTATGTTATTTGAAAAAAGTTCACTTGGTTTATATTTTTAGGCACAAAATTAAATTTCATATTTTCATAGCTTTTGGCATTTGTTTAATGAATGCATCCATTTTTTTAGATAATTTTGTAATTTACAATAATTCCAGTTTTTTAAATATTTGCATTAATACATTCCATTTATTCGTAAGAAATTTTATAAAAATTTTTTT